TTCCACCTACCATCAGCAGGCTTATTCTGGTCACCGAATGAAACCATGTGGACTTCCTTCAAGCTATTGGGGAATGTGGCAGGCATTGATGCCTGAGCAACAGTTTGGATGATTATGTTAGGAGTAATTGCTTGCATTATTTGTGGAGAGGGAGTTGCTTTCGGTTTGGGTTTCTTCACAGCAGCCTGTAAACAGAATTAGAAGATTACATTAAAGGGACATTCATTTTTTTTTTAAATTTCCCAACAGATTTATATAGCTTGAAGCTCTTTAAAGCAGTGGTTTTCAAAAAATGTTATGTTAAGCATGAATTTTAAATTCAGAGAATAGTATGTGGCTATCTAATATTTATATTTTATTTTATCTTTATTTCAATCAAGATTTTAATAGTTTTAATTAACAATAACAACACTGGAATGAAACTTATGTCAAATTCAATCATGATTCAATGTGAATTTTATCCATTTTTAATTACTACAAGACACTTTGTATTCTAAGAATTAAAAAAATAAGCTTACCACTGGTGGTGTCACAACTCCACACGTCTTCAGGTGGCTGTCATAACCCTGTTGATGTGGGAAGCCCAGGCCACAGTCCTGGCAGAGACATGGCCGCTGTCCCGCATGCCCTCCCATGTGTGACATAAGCATGAGTGACGAGCGGAAACCCATCCCACATTCAGCACATTTCAGGACCCTCTGGTGAGTGCTTCCGTGCTTCTTTAATTCCTCAATGCTTGCAAAGACTTGGCCACACTCCATGCAGCGGATCTCGTCTGTCTTGGTAGGCAAAGCCCCTTGATGACCCCAACATCCTGTGTCCTTCTTATGCTTATCAAAGTCCTCCTGACTCTGAAAGAAAACCAAACACGCCATGCACTGGATGTTCTCTGGCTTACATTCGTGGTTGTGGTAGAGAGAGGGCAAACGGAAATGACGTTTGCACTTTAGACACGTATACGGTAAGACGCCCAAGTGAGAGAAACTGTGGCGTAACAAAGAAGCCTTGCTGGAGAAGGTCTGCTCACAGTCGGAGCAGGAGAAGATGCCTCTGCTGTGCCATTCCAGGTGACGAAGCAGCGAGATGCGAAGGCGAAAACTGGTGCCACATTTGAGGCACAAATGTCGCTTCGCCTGTTGCCTGTGTGCTTCGACATGACCCTTGCACACATCTATGTCAGTGAAAATCTGCTTGCAAAAATCACACTGATAGAACTCTCTCTCAAAATGGTTGGTGTCCAAGTGCTGCTGGAGCTGTTCCTCTGTCTCAAAGATGTTTGAGCAAACGCGACAGTGGATGGAGGCTTTCTGGGAGTGAGAGCGAAGGTGTGCACGGTAATTGACTAACTGGCAGAACTGCTTGCCACATTCATCGCAGCGGTAGGGACGAACACCCGTATGCATATTTAAATGTTCTCGGAGTAAGAAGAGAGAGGAGAAGGTGAGATCACATACATGACAGCGATTCTCTTCATACTCTCCAGATCCATTTGTCTCTGAAATGGAAGAAAAAGGTGTATCAATAGCTGCTGTAACAGGAAATCATTTGTCTCGTCAGGCTATTGCAATCATCAGTTAGAATGGGCTGGAAATTACCAACCAATCAGTAATGTTTTTCATTATATACCATCATTTTCCAGCAAACAATAATTGTTTATGGATTTACAGTTTAGCTGCTAAGGAGTTACATAATTGCTGAACGATTTAAAACGATTAACTATTTCATTATACATTTAATGACAAAGAAAACAATTTCTAGCACATGTAATTTCTGCAGATAAACATTTTTTAAACAAATGAAAAAAATAAAATCTCAAATCACTTAAATGATTTATTATACATTACATACAGTATGAAAATTGGATATTTATTTCTAGATTTACTAAAGATCACATTTTATTATTGTTTAGAACAAAAGCTTATGAGTGCTCAAATTTACATTTTAATTTGCTAATTATTTGTGTATGTAAAGATTAACTTTCTATGATCATTATAAAGTTGATAATTTATATGATATATATATATATATTGATCTGAATCTTTTAAGTGTGACAAATACGCAAAAAATAAAAAAAAAACAGGAAGGGGGCAAAAACCTTTTTTCACACCACTGTGTGTATATATATAGATATATATATATATATATATATATATATATATATATGGGTGTGTGTGTGTGTAGATTTATGTATGAATTTTTTTGTGGTAGGGCAAGTAAACCTTTTTTGTGTCCGCGAAACAAAATTCTTACTCTTAAATAAGGTAAATAACAAAATATTGTATAAATTAAATCACAATGCATTGTTTGGAAAATGATGGAGTACCTGACCAGGAAATATCATCATCTTCTTCCTCCTCCTCAACATCATCCTCAGTCAAAACAAATTCTGCATCCTCATCTGTCCTTTCCTCACTAGACATAGCATCATCTGTCGTGAGACCAGAGGCTTCCTGGCTCAACTCTGAACATTTCTGTTCCTTAAAATTATTTTCCTTTCCCTCTTTTCCGTTTTTTATATATATATATATATATATATATATATATATATATATATATGGGTGTGTGTGTGTAGATTTATGTATGAATTTTTTTGTGGTAGGGCAAGTAAACCTTTTTTGTGTCCGCGAAACAAAATTCTTACTCTTAAATAAGGTAAATAACAAAATATTGTATAAATTAAATCACAATGCATTGTTTGGAAAATGATGGAGTACCTGACCAGGAAATATCATCATCTTCTTCCTCCTCCTCACCATCATCATCTTCTTCCTCCTCCTCAACATCATCCTCAGTCAAAACAAATTCTGCATCCTCATCTGTCCTTTCCTCACTAGACATAGCATCATCTGTCGTGAGACCAGAGGCTTCCTGGCTCAACTCTGAACATTTCTGTTCCTTATAATTATTTTCCTTTCCCTCTTTTCCGTTTTGCTCTACATCATCATTTCTCTGTTCTGTCCCCTCTCTTCTTCCTCCTCTTTTCCACAAATTGCAAATGACTTTATCCTTCTGCTCTGTGGAAATGATTTTGGAATTGCTTTGAGCTCCATTACTTGAAGAGTTATCTTTGAAGGGAGTGGAATATTGATGGTCCTGAAGAAAGCTTTTGTCAGCCGATGCACTCGCAACAATGCAGGCATCTTCACGACAGGTTGCAGGCGTTTCAGTCTCTGGTGCTGGCTTTTCAGTGCCATTCTGGGTCGGCAAAATGTTCTCTTTAACACTCTGTGGCTCACAGAGAGGGAAATTCCAGTTTGAAAAACCCAACTCTGTCAGCTGGATATCGAGGGTAAACTCTGACATGGTGCCTTGAAAAGAAATAGGAAAGACTGTCTGTGCAAGTTTGTTCAATTTTGCTGTGAAGACATTAAGGGTTGTAATTATTATTATTTGTTCCCATTAATTAAGAGCCATATGTGTCACATATATAAACATAGCATACGTGTTCCTATATAATTTATATATATGACATTAATAAGGTGTTATTATAGCAAAAGAGGTCTCTCCTGTTTGCAGAGAAATTTAGCAAACATAGTGTCTACAACATCTAAGATGAACTGCATGGCTTAAAGACATTTTTGTGCTGTCAATTCAATCGCTACAGTGAATACAGAAGCAAGTTTACTTCATATTACCTAGAATTCTTCGACGAGCATTTGAAAGCACCTTCGCTTCAGGATCTACTGTTCAGCAATGCAACAATCAATCCCTGATCATGCCAGGTTTATTAACTGCTCAGCGACATCTATTATGACAATAAACCACAAATATATAATGCGTGATCGTGACAGCTGCCAGTGTTAAAACTGTTTTGTCACGAATCAAACTCAGATCAGATTGCGCGAGCATATAGAAGAAATAAGGTGAGCCACTGTCCATCCGATACTTCCGGTATAAAATGCCCGACTAGAATGTGGATGTTGCCATCTACAGGAGGGGAGCGTTAAAGCCACTCACAGCAGACGTGTTTCTCTCAGGTCCTGGAGGGCCGGTGTCCTGCAGAATTCAGCTCCATCCCTAATCAAACACACCTGAACCAGCAAATCAAGGTCTTACTAGATATACTTGAAGCTTCCAGGCAGGTGTGTTGAGGCAAGTTGGAGCTAAACTCTGCAGGACACTAGCCCTCCAAGACCAAGTTTGGTGACCCCTGCTCTAAATCAGGTGTCAAACTCAATTCCTGCCCTGCAGAGTTTTGTTCCAACCCACATGTAGTTTTCAAATAAGCCTGAAGGACTTGATCAGTTGGATCAGGTGTTTAATTAGGGTTGAATATAAACTCTGCAGGGCCGAGTCTGACACCCCATGCTCTAAATTGTTAGTTTGAATATAATTGTATTATAATTATATTATTTGATTTACCTGTAGTAAAATGTCAGCTGTAGACACGCAGGTTTAGATGTTGGATTCCACAGGAGTTCTTTCTCACAGTCCTCTTTCAGTTTTAAATTTTTTTTTATTTTATCTACAATGCCAGAAAACTGCATCTCTGGATTTTTTCTTTTTGTGCCTCGAGGTATTATTATTCTTTCTTGTTCTTCCAATGTAAATGTATGGGTTACTATGGCAACTAAAACTGGTTTTGCTCAAAGGAAGACGATGCCAGCCTTTGCAGTGTCACAGAAATTCATATGCCTGTCCATGAACGCACTGTCCTGAAATCATGTTCTAGTAAATCAAACAAGCTTTCCTTAACCACTTAAGTTCTATTCTAACTCGATGTATGCTGAGCTTGCTGACCAAAGGCTAACTGGAAATGTAATGAAAGGGAAAAGTTTAGTCTGACCATTGCACTTTTAGCTATATCCACTTTCCCCGATCTTCATGAACAATAAATAGGTAGACATTGTTCAACTTGTGAAACAGATGTTCGAGCTGATCTTTTTTAAGAGCAAATCCAGTTGTGTGCAAAATGATTATGTAGATATAATATTAAATTATTTTTCATTTAATGCTACACGATAAAGCAGAAATGATATAATTACCCCAAAATGATGTATGGTAAAAAGGCAGAAACTATAATCTGTGATAGCGATACTTCACCATCATGGAAATTCTCTAAGGGTGCACCATAAATAATAATAATAAAACACTTTCAATTAATTATTTAGACATTTACTTCACTCAGAGAACTCAGTTGTGGGTAACATTTAAGTTCAAGTCAAATGTCAAGTCATACCAGTAAAAAAAAAAGGGAAACATCTGAAATCAAATTTAGTCAGATCTTGGCAGAAAACATCATTTAGTAAATCTTTCCACTCACCATTGTACACACTTCTAAAAAGAATGTAAAAACAATAACGCATTATATTCATAGAAAAGACTTTAAAATTTTCCAAAAAATAAAGAAAACAACAATATGAAGCCTTAGACAATATAATAAGGCTTTTCTGTGGGTTTCTCTTGATGGTATAAGTTACAACATGGTTACCCTACAAATGAGAATTCAGTCAAGGTATGACTCTTTTCCATGCCAAAGCTATGTACAGATGTCAAGATACAATGAGGCAGCCAAATATGGTTACCATTCGTTAACCATGAACTCACTACCCTTTGGGTTTCCAGTTTTCAAATAACATGTTCACATAGTGTTGATTTCAAGGGTCACACAGTTGAAGGATCCCCTACTATGTTACAACTTAAAATCTAAAGTGAACCCTGTCCCCACCTACATTTCTATACACAACATTTTTAAAATTGAATTAGTCTTCGGTTAACATACACCCAAAAATTCTCCCAAACTGAATTATCTCTTTCCGACTGGCTTCTCTTCTTTTCCATGACTCTGCTGATGAGCCTTCAGGTTACTTTCTCTGCCAAAGCTTTTTCCACATGTGGGGCAAGTGTGCCGGCCGGCACTGTGTGCCCTTGCCATGTGGGCCTCCAGCTGCTCAGGTCGGTTAAAACTCTCCTCACATTCTCCACAAGCGTGAGGCTTGCGCTGCGTGTGCTTCTCTTTCTTATGTGCTCGAAGCTGCGCTAGGCTGGGGAAAGTGAGATCACATTCAGTGCAAGGGATCTGCAGAGCTGGCTGAGGAACAGGTTTCTTGTCATCTTTTTCTGCTTTATCATCTTCTGCCTTGGGCTCCTGGGTAGATTTGACTGGGCGTCCTCGTCTTCCTCCTGTCTTCCCTTCAGCTGTGGCTGGTTTTGCAGAAGCATCTTCTGAATAGTTGGTTTCCTCAGGCTCCTCTGCTTCTTCCTCCTTCTTTTGCTTTGCTTTCTTTTCACCGGCTGCACTGGCCTCCGTTTTTGGTGGTCTCCCTCGACGTTTGATGGCGGCACTACCGTTGCAGTGCCGGTCGCCTGCATGGTTCTCCTGATGTTGCAGGAGCTCTGCCTCTTCTTCAAATCCCCTACCACATTTACCACATCGGTAGGTCTTAGTGGAATCCTCTGCATCCTCTCCGTCCATGGGCACGGGGTGCTGGGCCAAACGATGGTTACGCAAAAGTCCAGGGCTTCGAAATGTCTCGTTGCATTCTTTGCAAACAAACTGACGTTCAGGACATACTTGCCGCCGATGTGTTGTTAACTTGTGGAAAGAAAGTGGCACAAGTTGAAATATTAAACATAGGCTTACAATTAGAATCATGGCATGTGTACAATACATAGTTGGCCATGCTCTCAAACACTACAATAACAATGGCATAACGTTTTTAGTAACTGTATATTGCCTCTTTTTGGTAATCAATTTCTCAATTAATTAGAACAATACAATTTTATGCAGAACTTAAGATACTTAATACTCAAAAATCAAGCATTTTCTGTTTAAAATCATTTAAAACTCCTCTTACCTCTGAGAATGTGCGGAAACATTCTTGGCAATGTGTACATTTGAAGGGCTTGTCCTCCTTGTTGTGGGTCGACTGATGTTGTGTCAGTTCCTCAGAGGAGGGGAAGGTTCGATCGCACACATAGCATGTGAAAAGTGTATCACACTGTTGATGCAAAGACAACAAGTTTGTGAATATACATTGAAGCAATTAATTAAAAATTAAAACAAATATAATTTAATATGTTTGAATTCATCACACAAGTTTTTTTTTTATTAAATGTATTTCATTAAAAATATCCATTCAGCACAATGTTTTTAATTAGACTTAGGTTATTTATTGTTATTTATATATATATATATATATATGTGTGTGTGTGTGTGTATTGTATTAGTTAAACAATAGTTATATGGTGGCATAAATCACATGCAACTCATACTTAAGTATTATCATAGGATCAAACACGCTACAACAGTTCAAGCTGTTGCATCCACTACGTTAAAAATAAAAGGGAAGCACAGTGGAAACAGCTCCTTCCTCTGAAAAAGCATCTCTTTCACCTGGTGGCAAATTCACAGCTTTCAGTCTGCCAAGTCTGTCAAATAAAGCTGACACCACAATAGCTGATGCAAGTTGTTTAAGGAATTTTCTGTCATTTAAAAACATTAACAGATCATTCAAAAGTAGTTTCAGTCATTTTGACAGAAAAATCATGTATTTGGTACACAGGTAAAGAAACTCTTCTGGATTTTGTTGCAGAAAATGTTGTTGGCAGTTCATAAATGAAGCTCAACAAAATAAGGATATAATCACCAAACAAATGTAATCAAGTGTAAAAGAGTGAAGCCAGTGGTGTTTTTCAGATTCAGTGAGAATACGATTTACATAGAGTAAACACTGTTCTCGTTGCTTTACTATTTTATTAGTCATTTCACTTGGGTTAATGGAGTGCTTGCACCAACAAAAATATATCCACTCATCTCTAGAGACATCTGCAAGCTTCTGTGAAATTCAGTGCTGTTAGAAGAATGCTTTAACAACAGACACAAAGCAACACATCCTCACTCAATTTTGAGAACTGATACTAGCAAACTAAACTGAGAAACCATTCTAGAGTTTGAAGGAGGTGGTTAATATTTTTAGAATATTATGTATATTAATTTTGTTTTGATCAGTTACATTCATTAAAGATGTTTTTATCCAAAGCTGCTTACAAATGAGGAATATCAAAAGCAAGAATCATAAGGAGACTATAACATGAGAAATGCTAGCAAACATCATCTCGAATAGTGCTAGTATCTAGTAATAATATTATCTAGAAGTATGACCATATCTACTCAAATCAAACTGTGAATGCTGTAAATGACTGAATCCCAAAAAATCAGAGATATGTGCAATGGTGCTATCAAAGTAATGCTTCAACTAACCTGTTGAAGCTGCTGTTTGTACTCTTCCCGATGACTCTTCTTCATATGCCTTTCCTTGGCTTTTGAGTTGCAGAAAGTAATAAAACATTGGAAACACTGCAGGCTTTCATGCTGGTCTGAATACAGAGAGAGAGAATGACCAATTTAAACACCAGTATGGGAGACAATGCTAATTACAAGTTTATAATACAACTATATACCTAGTGTAACATCAAGATATAAAATGGTCAAACAGCAGACATTAAAAAAGCATTTAAAAGTAGAACTTAAAAAAAAGAAGAAAAAAGGATTTAGGATTTTAGAAATGTGATGAAGTATAGCACAATATTATTAATCCATTAATATATGTATCCTGGGGTATTTCAGTAATCCTGTTTTTTATTATTATTAATCTTACTCCCCAAGACTTAAACAATTTTTTTTCCCATCCCAGCTTTTAAAAAATGCAAAAACACCATTCACCATTACACTATTTGAAAACCGGCATAACACTAGCTTTATGCAACAGGTGCCCATGAGAAACATACATTTAAACCCGGAGGTCTATCCATAACTGATTATAGTACGAAATCAAGGATTTTCCTTCACACTCACATGACTGAATGACAGGAGGTGGTGCATGTTCCTGAATGGAGGCGGTGTAGGCATCCTCTGTCTTCTCAGAGGGCAGTTCAGCAGGGGCAGCAGCCTCTCCTCCACCCATTACTATCTCCTCTATATTCAGTATGTTAGAGTCCATTATGAGGGATTAAGAATTCAATGTGCGCCTGCTGTAAATACAAAAGAGATGATATTCAATCAATCTAGCCTATGCATACAAATATGTACGGTATAAACGTATTGCAGTGTGCAAGTAACACAAAAACCCGTCATACATTTACAAAGCGCCACACAAATTATTAAATAACGTAAGGATGCAACTAAACCGTTTCTACATAGGTTTTCACACTGCTGAATAAGTAAAGTCACCTGAGCCACTGAAACACACAATATAGCATACGTGCTTAGTAGCATAGATTTACATACCTTTGTTTCACACACTAAGAACTCAACATCACAGCAGCCTAAAATTTTGGTTCATAATATAAAAATATGGTTTCATTTTAGAAAACAGGGGGTTAGGAGACCAAACGTCTCCAATTGCGCGTTTTAGAGCCGCCTACCGTTTGTTCGCATTAACTAAGCTATGCTAAGCTAAATAAAGCTAACGGCTAACGAGGCCTACAGGGGCCTTACGCTTCTGGAAACCAAACCAATGCTATGTAGCTAACTAGTTCATTGCCTAATGTGTTGAAATCAGCCCCACTACCGATGCATCGAAGCCGCTGTAAAAAATAAAAACTTTAGCTGTTTGAACGGAGCTATGCGTTTATATTTGTATTAAGCTGCTGTTACATTAGCCAGCTGCTGAGTTCGAGGTTAAACTTGGTGCAGACTAACAACCAAGTTCGCTGGCCAAAAACAAAGCCCAAAAAGAGGGAAATGTTTTCATTTTAAGTTACTTAAATTAAAAAATAAGTCTTAAAAATAATTTCGCAGAACTCTTACCTTAAAGAGAATATCCCTTTTGCCTGGAGGGAAAAGGCGTAAGCCAGACATACATTTGAAAATAAAGGGGGCGCAAACGTGTAGTCAGTGACCCGCTGTTAAGACGAAAAAAAACCTGCATCACGTGCCAAGGCGTCCGCTGAACTTTCCATTGTGTTCATCCAAAAGCAGAACAGGTATGGAGATGGCCTGTTTGTCATGCAAAATAAGTTAATGGCTTCTAAAATGATAACATTTTTAATTGTGTGGCCCTTATATAAAATAATTGCATACGCAAAGAAAATAACTATTCTATAATTGAACTGGTTAGATATAAATGCATAAAAGTGTTCATCACAACACGGAGATCATACTATCAAATGTAAAAGCTTTTATTTTATACAAATAAATTGAAGATGCCTTTACAAAGCACAATGAGCTGGAATCAAACATAACATTCTAAAATGAACTTTTCCTTTTAGGAAATAGAAACCAAACAATGCATGGGATACGTTCTTATGTTTGCTAGGTTTAAAATACAATAACATTTCAGTATCAACATTAAAAGAAAATATAACAATCACAATATAACATTCATTATACATCCAAATGGGCTTATGAGAGTATTTGCACAAGTACAAAACCTTGACAAGAATAGATATGGATGGTTCAGGATTTGTTTTGAGTCACGATGAGCAATAACTTAATGATTAACCATCTTATTTAAGTAAATGAGTTAAAGTTAAAATGAGCACAGTCTGTATGCCTCATGAAGACCCCTGACTGTGAAACTTTAGGAAGCAGTTGTGGTTTCGAGAAATGCACAGGAACACACAGCATTTAAGACACCGCACACGTGATGTCCTCTCACAGCCCCCAAATCGACACCTCCTGGCCTCCTCGCCCTCTGCCAGCTGCTCTGGCCAGTGCCCAAAGCCATCATACCGTGTATGTTCATCAGGCAAAGGGGTCTCAAGAACCTGAGAAGGTCTCGAGTTTGTATCTGGACTGTGTAGTTTTGGAGCAGGAGGGCAGGGAGGTGATGAGTCTTGTGCGTCAACACCACTGGAGAGAATCAATGCTTTGGCCACCTCCAAACGAAATGCCATAAGTGATAACAGATCTGTAATATGACTGTAATCTTGCTTGTACTGTATCCATGCATTTACTAAAACCAGATCGATCAAGTCCCAGAGAACAGACTGCGGCCAAGCACTGACTGCCGAGTTTGTGCAGGGTGTGCGATAAAGACTTCTCAAGTCGCGGTTAAGATTTGCAGCCTTAATTGCTCGCTCGAAGCCACTGACAAGAGATGTTGAACGAGGTTTTTCCTTTACCACTGCCGAAAGGATAAAGCCATGATGACATCTGAAAAGCTTGAGTTTTCCATCCGAGCTCACAAACTCATCACCTATTTGCCCTCTTGCCCCACCAACCTTGCCAGCGCTTTGCACACCAGCCGCTAAAAGATGCTCTAGCATAGAAGGTGTAGAAAGCTCTGGTTTGCAAAGAAACACCATCCCTTCGTTTCTATCCTTACCTCTAGAGACCATTTTCTCAACTACAACTTCTCTATTGGAGTCATCTACACTCAAGATGAAGTCCACAACCAACCCTCCACCATTTAGGACAACTGTGTGAAGTAATGAATGGGTTGGGTGTCTTTGAAAAGGAAGGGGGTACTGGTCGACCCCATAGTTTCCATGTCGCTTCAGTGCCCGACAACAGTCTTGAACTCTTCTTATCAACGGCATTACCTTCCACAAAGGATCTGTCTTTAAGTTTGTGCAATTATGTGCCTCATTACTGTGAGCTTCATTACTCTGTTCTGGCTGGTCTCTATTCCTTTCTTCAGACTGCTGATCGCTACTCGTCCCCGCACAAGCTCCACCAGAACTGGCCAGCTTCACTTTATGAGTAAGCTCACAGAATTTTGAAGCCGACATGGTATCAGAGATCAGAGGTACTCGTGTGCAATCTTCCCAGTAGAGCTTTGTGCTAGGAAACTTTGTGGTAAAAAAAAAAGAGAAACAAGACAAAGAGACAACAATAAGATGGAGACAATATCATCTTAAAACATACCACTGATTAGACTAAAATCAATACATTGTATATTTTAAACATGACAAAATAAATGACATTTTTAATGCAATTAATTTTTCAGCATAACCTCATATTTATTATTCTAGGTTTTGCACACTTTTTAAACCTTGCACTGATGTTTAACCCAAGAAAACAAAATGAGCAAAAAAAAACCTAAATGTCAAACATGGTGTAATTTTTTTTTTAGGGCACTTGACAAATACACATAATGGTAATAAAAACATGCAAAACAATCTAAAACAGATAAATCTTTCCCAATTCTCACCCGAATAGAGCGTCTATCTTCTTCTAATAACGTTTTATGCAAACCAACTTCTGGTGTATTTACCGCCACTAACTGGACTGGAGTGTGGAGCACTAATAAGCAACTAATATATACATATATATATATATATATATAAATAAAAAAATAAGACACACATTCCTAAATTCTCCTGATTAATCTTATTTCTTGAATGTATTTAACAATAGCACCATATATTTTACCTTGTTCTGCATGCTGTTTCAAAAGGCTTGACAAATTAAATGATTCAACATCCATGTTTTTTACTTTCTTAATGAGTTTTAACCTTTCTTTTTCATATTTTTTTTTACATTTTATTAAAACATGCTCTATTGTTTCTGCGTGGTTACAAAACATACATTGACCTGTTTTGTTTTAGTGTCTATCTGATGGGCGTCACGCGAGATCATCTTCTTCTTCTTCTCTCGAGTTTTTTTGGCGGATTGGCAAACCAACGTTAAAGGTGCATGTCCGCCACCTACTGGTCTGGAGTGTGAAACGTACACGGTTCAGCTATACATTTTTTTAAAAATAAAAAAAGATTAATAATAATAAAATAAAATAATAAACCAACATTTTTTTTATGTAAATACAAAAAAAATGTCCAAATTCCGAACTCTTTCCATTAATCTTGTCTTTTTTAAATACTTAAACAATTCTCCATATATTCTTGATTGCATTACCCCATAACCTAATAGTGTCTTTAGAGATATACTATTAATTCCCATTAGTTCCAGTTCTTGGAACATCTGATGTCTTTCCCTTTCATACGCTATACATATTAAGGCATTCAACACACACTGTATCTATCAGCAAAAACAACAACATGTATAGTATTTTTAGGAGTGATCATTTGAAATTACCATGTTCCACTGAAGTTTCAGTGCAAGTAAAAACATCTTGAGGTCCAAAGTTTGATGATACATCAATGCAAGTTTCAGTCCACAACTATTATTACTTGGAATTTCTCTTCCATCTGGATGCATGCATATTTTGTACCTATTCAAGTCATGTAATGTTTAATTCCTGGGTAATCTTACACATTTTGAGAGTGAATCAACTTAAATAAATTAAAGGATGATCTTTTATTAACAAACCAACCATAAACCTTCACAATCACCACCCACCCAAGACTTGACAACATGAAATGGTAACACAACTGTTCAATTTACTATCAAGGGTTTTTCATTTGTTCAAATGATGAGCTATTCTCATTATGACTCAACATGCCAGACCTACACAAATAACACTGCCTCTACGGACCAGTTTGCATCTTATTCCTACATTCTTAATGTCATTAACATGACTTGAGGGATTTTATGCAAGGAACCTAGCATTATATTTAAGAAATAATTTTTTGTACAATCACAACATCTTCAAGAGAAACATTAAACCTCAACCCCAATGTTTTTCAATTAGTTGAAAGATGAAAAAAATTTTAAAAAGGAAAACCAAAACCTAACTTTTACAAAAATGTGGTTTAAGCTGTAAAATGGTGACGTCAATAAAGAAACAATGACAATGGCACAAACAGATGTTGTACAAATCAATGTCTAGCAAGACAAAACATAAGATTTAAGCTGTAATGCATCCAAAAAAAAAACTGCTTTTTAATTAACATGTACAACAAATATCTAACAAACACCTTGCTAGTTTAAATTAAGAGCTCTTTCAAAGTACAAGGTGATAGAAAGCAACAAAGAAACTAAATTGAGTAGTCAAAAAAAAAAGAAAAAGAATATAAATCTTTAAAATCCCCTAAAATACACTGAAACACTTTGCAGAGGTCTAAAGAGATTTTAAAGGGAGTAATAGAAATGTACAACTTTTATGTAAGTAATTAGAACACACTATTTAGTTTAAAGGACATCTGTGATAATGCTTTCCATTTTTCAGACATCTTTCTCACTACAATTTCAGCAAAATTGTAGAATTTAAAAGCTGATCGTGGCATTTTCCTTCCTCTTTAATACATCCAGTTCTTCTACTGTATACACACACTCACAGCAGGTAACAAAAATCTTGAATCAAGTACTACATTAAATCAGTGTAGGTGCAGTAAACAATGTACCAGAAACCAATGTCCATCTTCATGCATTTTTTACACATTTTAGAGCCCACGTGCGTGTTCAATATAATGCTGATGCAGTTCTGTTTCCTGTTTGAAGAATATCCCACACTCAATGCAAGTTAGGTTAACAGCACCTCTTACTGCGGAAGTAGCGTACCTGTCTGTTAGCTCTTTATCACCCAAGCACTCCTGATGGTGGTCAATAAGATTTCTGATATCAGTAAAGGTCTGTGAACACAAAGAACAATGGTGCGGCTCCGCGTTTTTGTGAAGAGTCTGGTGCTGCTGCAAAGCACGAGGTGACAAGAATGTTTTTCCACAGTGTTGACATTTATGGCTACTGAGTTGTGGACTTACAGGGGCTACAGGCAGCTTGACTATAGACTCGGATCTGTGCGATAAAGCTTGCAGGTTGTCTGAAGGCCCAGGTGCCATGGAAGCACTCAGTCTGTATCGCAGTTCGTTTGGGAGACGCTGGCGTTCTTCGTTGTGCCATGCAAGATGCTGCTGAAGCTGGTGTTCAGTCCAGTAACCGCGGCAGCAAAGAGCGCAGCAATGCGGACGAGTCTTCGCCACCTCTTTGTGAGCGTTTAACTGCTCCTCACTGGGAAATGCTTTAGCACATTTATCACATTTGAAAAAACATTGAGTGAGTTCTAAGTTTCGACTACGCTGTACATGTTCTTCCTCCATAGAAGTTTTCAGCTCTTTCTTAGTCGACATTTTAGGAAGGGTCCTTTCAGAAGCAAAGGGCTTCTCATATGCCAAGCGCTCTTCTAGAGACGCAGTGGGTTGTTTGCCAACCTTGTGGTGTTTCTGCCATTTGTGTGCACGAAGGCCACGTATGTTCAAGAAGCTCTTATTGCAGTTGGAGCACTGATGGCGTCGCACCTTAGTCTTCTCTCGTTTAGTAACATTCGTTTTGGATGTGTATGATTGTTTGATGGGTGTAACCAACTCATCTGTATGGAGGATTTCAGACTGTAGTTTCTCAGTTTCAGTAAGCTTGCTGTGATGTTCTGCAAAGTGAGTTGTTAGAAGAGACCCACTTGAGAAAGAGATCTGACAATCTGGACAGGTAAAAACACTAATTGATTCAGGAACTTCATGCTCTTTTTGGGGTTGAGCCTCCATGGGAGGGTGATGTAGCTGATGCCGGCGAAGAACACAAAGGTAAAAGAATCCTTTCCCACATACATTGCATAAATATGGTCCACAGTCCACACTTTTCCTTGAGTGCATCTTATTGGTCTTTGAGAGAAATCGGGCAAATTTTTTGTCTTTGTGCCATCTCCTATGTGTGCCTAGAGCCGAATTGGAGCTAAAATATCTTCCGCATTCAGCACAAGCAAAAGACGATTTTGGCAAAAACGTCTCCGACTTTACTTTGTCAAGCTTTAACTGTTTTGCCGAGTGGGAATTCAGCTTTTTAGATTGGTGACCTTTGTTATGAATTCGCTTGTGAAAATTAAGCGCACCAATTACCGAAAAGCTTCTGCTACAGTCCTGACATTTATATTTCAAATCCAAAGCTAAAGATGTTTTCTGTTCTCTTTCAGAATCAGCTGAATGAGAAGAGTCACAAACATCTTCAGCTTTTTGCAAGGATGCATCTATCCCAACTTTCCTACATTCTTCTGGAAATTCCACATTATCCTCTAGTTTTGAACAGTGCTTCTGATGATTTTGTAGTATTGACTCAGATGCAAAAAAAGCATAGCATGTCGGGCACTGAGGTCGCTCAGATGAGTCAGAGTCAATTAAAGGAAGGCCAGTCTCAAAGCCATGACTTTTCATGTGAAACTGGAGGGCCATGGCACGGGAGAAAACTTTTCTGCAGTCAGGACATTGGTAGGAGTTCTTTTTCAACTGCTGGACTTGATAGTCAAAAGATTTGACAGCAGGTTGGACACCTTGGGCGTCATGGACAAGCTTGTGTTTAAGAAAACAAGCTAGCATGTGATATGATTTGCCACACACCTCACATTTATGTTCCTCTTTTGAACTCATAGGGTTCACTTTTTTATAACCACCCCTACGACCCCTTTTCTTGCGTCGTATGTGACCATTCTCAGAGTCTGGCGTACCGGCAGGCCTCATCTCAACATTTGCACACTCCAAGTGGTTTTGCTTGTGATGACAGAAAGCTCCCAAAGACCAAAAACCTTTACCACACTTTTTACAATGATGAACTTTTGGGCCTAAAAGTGACTTGGTTGGGTTGAAATGCTTTGTCTTTTCGCCTGTGGCATTGCCACAACAAACCTTCCGGTGGTTGTACAGACCACTTGCAGTCGCATAGCTCCTGTCACACTCCAAGCAAGCAAAGGGTTTTTTTCTTCTGTTGTGATGTTGTTGGTGAGAATGCAATGCAGACAGTCGGGAAAAAGACATGCCACAGTCTTCACATTTAATATTGTTCTTTTGCAGATTTGCAAGTTGGTACGAAATAGACTTATATGCTACTTTATCCTCATGCTTGCCCATGTGAAAGTAATGAGCACTTTTGGAGGCACTTTCATGGCCACAAACCTCACATGTTAAAAGGGTCCTCTTAGTTGGCATCAGCATGTCAAACTTCTGCCTCCCATCTGATTTTTTTCCCATGCACCCTTTGTGCCAAAGTATGTGACAGCGCAAGGACAAAGCCTTGACAAACTTTCGATCACAATGTGGACAATTATACTTTGCCTCTTGAGGACTTCTTTTGCTTATCAGTTCTGCATTTATTAATGGTTCATCATTTAAGTGCTGATAATCAATCTGTACGATTTTGACATCGATTTCTGGATTAAACTGCAGGGAGGAGGTACATTCAGTTTGACTCGAGTTGAAGCCCAAGCCATCTTTTTCCTCATGGTCTGATTCACACACTAACTCAAGATCAGGGTTTTGATCCTGAGAGAGACCACTGTTGTTCTCATAATCATCTGACGCCGTGATCTGGACAACTTCATAATCGACATCTACGGCCTCATGCTCTTCTACTGTGTTGTTGCAGTTAAAATCCTTCTCTTGAACTTGAGCATGTGATATGTCCCGAGAATGAAAAACAACACTGTCAGCATTGTCATTCTGATATATTTTTACTGGGTGAGTGGCGGTGCTCATGTCAGACTTCTTCTCCATGATGTCACCGAAGACATCAGTATGACAGAGCTGATGCGACTGCAGGGCAGATGCTCGCGAGAACCGACGACCACACTCCTCGCACTCAAACGCCTTCTTCTTGAGTTGAATAACTTGATGAAGAAATGATTTTGCTGGGAGCTCTTCACTGTGCGCCAATCGTTGGTGCTTATTGTAGAACGTAAGTGAGGTGAAGACCTTGCCGCACTCAGTACATTTATATGGCTGACCATTGGAGACAAGTTGTGCCTGTCTTTTATGCCAACGCTGATGGCACAACAGAGCCACAGAGCTACCGAAGGTCTTCCCGCATTCAGAGCAAACAAACGGATGCTTAATTTCCTCCTTCACCTTTCCTTCTGAACAGCTGGTTGAGAATCTCTGGTGCGTGCCAAGGCCAGACATGGTGCGAAAAGATCTGCCACAGAAGCATTGAAAAACCTTTTTCTCATGCTCCTTATTCTGTTCAGAGCTTGTCCCATTGTCTTCAGATTGACCTGGAGCTTCATTAAGTGACAAAGGTTTCTCATTTTCACAGCTTTTGGATTTCACTAGCTTTACCTCATGACAACGGCGATGTGCGTCAAGAGCTGAAGCTCGAGAGTAACAGCGTCCACAGGTGGGGCACTGAAATGACTTTTTCTTTAGATGAGCCAGCTGATGAAAAACTGACTTTGAGGCCTGTTTATGTGAACGCTGATGGTTGAGACAATGACCAACGGTGGAAAAAGCTTTACCACAATCCTTACATTTGAAAAGCTTCTGCCTTACTGCACCCTCGCCTATCCCCTGTTTAATGACTTGTTTGCGGTGCTTCAGTTGATGGCTGAAAAAGCCTTTCGAGCTTGAAAAGCTCTGTCCGCAGAGAGCACAGAACAACGTTCTCCGGCCTCCGTCGGTCGAGATGAGCAAGTCATCCCACTGCGAATCTGTGTCCAAGCAGACTATGGGACCATCGTGGATATGCTCGCTGTGATGCCCCAGGTAATCCTCTTTGTTCTCAAAGGCCTCACTGCAATCTTCACTGCGAAATGGCCAATCCCCTAAAAACAGAAAGGGGAAATGGGAGGTCAGGGCGACTCCTGTTGCCAGAGGAGAGAGAAAAATTAAAGTATAGAGGCAACAAATAAAATTAAAATAACTGTAAAAAAGCCTCCTTTACTCCAAACGTTCAAAACATTATTTTATATATATATATATATAAAAGATAATCTAAAAGTGGAAATAATTTATTTATTCTAGTAAACAGGGGATTAGGAACACAAATAAGACAAAAACAATTTGCACTATTATTGCTTTTTATAAAATGGGTATAAAAAGGGTATATAAAGTGTATATTGCAACCACCAGAAATAATTACACAAATTATAAGTAAAGAAACAGAAAAACAGTCTACTTTTTTTATAGTAACTTCTTAATGAGAATAACAAAAATACATTTATAAAACTTCAGAACAAAAAATGAATATCTCATTGTTACATTCTGCACAGCTGTAAATGAAGACAATCTGACTTGCAGCTCTGTTGAAGAAATCTGTTGCCAGGTAACGACAGAACAATTCGGAGTCTTATTCGAATTATTTGTTCCACCTTAAATGATATCGACCGCATACACAAATTATAAGTAAAGAAACAGAAAAACAGTCTACTTTTTTTTATAGTAACTTCTTAATGAGAATAACAAAAATACATTTATAAAACTTCAAAACAAAAAATGACTATCTCATTGTTACATTCTGCACAGCTGTAAATGAAGACAATCTGACTTGCAGCTCTGTTGAAGAAATCTGTTGCCAGGTAACGACAGAACAATTCGGAGTCTTATTCGAATTATTTGTTCCACCTTAAATGATATCGACCGCTTGGATCAACAAGACGAAATATTATAAAACGAATAAAATGTTAAAATATGTTTCCCAAACATATTATTTAGAGAAATTGAAACACTGGAAAATGATGCTCTAAAATAATATTTCATTCACCTACTTATTCTTTATATATTCTATTTCGCACATGCGCAATTTAAAATATGAGTAACGGTTAAACACTACCATCTACTGGCAACATAACAATACTGCAATATCATTTAAGGTGGAGCAGATTATATGACCGAGAAACTAACCTCTCCTGCTACAACGACTGCACACCTGGTTTGAAATGACAAAGAATTTATTTAGTCTAAGACAAAAACATAAATTTTGTGAAATGCCAGCCAAAATCAGTCAATCCCCCACTAAGAAACAATGACAGGCAGTAAGAAGGACATGTTTAAAACAGAATTTCCTCATGGACATGCAGTACTGCTGCCGTCTTGTCATTCCCCAAGACGACACGTAGTCGCTGGTGCAAAATATCAAATATCAGCAAAAGATCATCCATAATAAATAAGATCATTATTTGCACAATTAAATTATAATACTATATGATCGCACAGAGTCCTAGACTGTGTAAAAAGAGGTGAATTTATTTAAGGTAAATAAACAATTATACCTTTATTATAAGGTAAAAGATAACTAGTAACTAACTAACTGAAAGGTCGGTGTTGTCAACAACAACAAAAAAGTTGCTTACCTTCGGCGGTTTGTTCTCTCTCAGACGAGTCTACTTTATTGGTAACGTTAGACATATAAGCCACATTTCCTTCCTCGACCTCGTCTATATAAACAACTACACATTCATCTTCCTCCACTTGTTCTACTTCAATCTTCATGGGTGGATCTGCAGCATTGGCTTCAACAATTTCGGCGTGGTCCTGGGCTTTTAATATAGGGCCACTGGGACTTAACTCCATTTCTCCGTCCGTGTTTTTAGCATTAGTGGCTTTGCTATTGCTCACTGGACCGATGTTTACCTCTTGGGCTGCACCTTTCTCATATTCAGAGGACAAACATTCATTATTTGACTGCAAACTACCATCATTTGCAGAATAACCAGCAGCCATAATGGTTCTAGCCAGCTCAAGTTTTCCTCAATAGGAAAGGCACCGCACTTTTCGCGGTAAAGGACAGTATTGTTGTTGTTGGGGGCAGGCAAGCTTACGAATCCTACTATGGCGAAAGCTTTGCTCATGAATATTAATTAGGTTACGTTTGTTGCGGCTCCAGGAAGGTTAGCATGCAACGTCTGCCTGAACAAATTAAAATTCATATAGTATAGCCTTAGCTGTAGTAGGATCATATACGATATAAAATAATAGGATATAATACGATGTGGATGATACGATATAAATGTATAGATATGAAATAAGATATTTAATAATACAAAATATGGTAACGATGTGAAAATGGGAGGAGCTTTTCGGCCCGGACATTGTTTATAATGTGTCGGGTCATGTTTCTAACGAAATAATAATCTCTTTTTTAACTTTACACGGTGCTTTTCAGTTTATTGGTTATTATGTTTATTTGTGTCAATAAGTGGAAAAGGTTGCCCATCAGTTTTTTTTTCATTGTTTATTATATAGAAATTGCATGGGTGAATTTTCCTGTGTGGTATATATATATTATGATATGAATTATTGGAATTAGACGTAAACGATTACTCTAGTATTTTGTATACAAGTGTCACCAATAAGACAAAAACGTTCTGATATTGAATGTGGCTCAGTCTGGAAGGATGTAGCCTATTTCTGGTAATACACGTGCATTCTGCAATACCAAAACAAAAGACAAAATGATCTAGTTCACATTACTAGCAATGTTCTCACACGCAAATAATCCAGTGAGATTTGTGTATGCACAAGGAGTCTGACAACAGCCAGTGCTCCACACAGAGATCTGATCTCACCATCATCCAGTCTGTCTGGAATGACATGAAGAAACAGAAAAAAACTGAGATTAAATCCAGAAAAACTGTGGCAACATCTCCAAGATGCTTAAAGAAATCTATATCGAAAGCTACAGTACTGTGAAAAGTTGTAGGCACTTGTGTAAAATGCTGTAAAGTGAGGATGCTTTAAAAAATAATGTCATAAATAGATTTTATTTATCAGTTAACTTAAATTAACTAAATCAAATCAACATTTGGTGTGACCACCCTTTGAGTTTAAAACAGCTTTTGTCCTTGGTACACTTGCGCATTGCCACTGCGCCTATGGAAAGTCCTCATAATGATAGGTGTCCCAACGTATGCGTGTATAATGTTAATAAAACACTTTTGAGATGACTGACTCCAGATATGTAGGCACTCAACATACACAGCGGTACTGCTCAGAGACGTACTTTATTCAATCAAGCTGCAACAACTGGACAGAGGTAATAAAAGAAAAAAACAGGAATTCCAATTACTTGAAATTTCAACATAATTTTAAAACTATGAAACAGGTGTACAAAAGCAATCCAACACTATTCTCAAAAAAAGGTTTATTTTTATGACTTTTGACCTCTGGAAACTTCAAAATATTATTATTATTATTAGTCATGTTATTTGAACCCTAAAAGGTTGTGGAAAAATGAGAGAAAATCAAGTTTAGGAAAGAAAAGACAATGTGGAAAAAAATTAATTTCAGCTTTTCAGAAAATGTTATATTGCACACACACCATGGCATGCCAATTACTTTAGAGATTTTAAATCTAGTCCAAAGCATATATCACAAAACTCATTATAAATTTATTTAGCATTGTTTCACCTCCAGTATTTACAATCAAAACAAAGCGCACATTATTAACATGTTTAATGGCATAGCAATGCTCACTAACTTTTAGGCTGCGTTCCACTCCACTTTTAGACACGCACTGGCTAACTTCCCTAAGCACTTCCCCTCGCGGGAATCCCCGCTGCCATTTTGAAGTGCGTTCCACTTCGTAAAGTGGAGAGAAGTTTATATGGACAGACCCTCGACCCCTCGATTCTGACCTGCTTCATATGCACACTTCAGGCCGCTCCATAGACCACAATGCACCACGATTGTGACGTCATCGCAGATCGCGTTTAATTTACCCCGACCCCAAACAACTCTATAATATATAAATTATTATTTTTTTACATTTATAACAGCCCAAACATACCTATATACATATAGAATGCTGCACCAAACAAATTCATAAGGGAAAAAATGTAAACAATAACCCAACTCTATAGCAGATTCTAAGTGATCAAGGGCTTAGGACGTTCCAGTTCAGCCCATTCCAAGGGTTCTGCCTGTAGTGGGCACTCGTGCAACCTAATCAAGGACGTACATTCGAGTGAACGAGACGGAGGGAAGTTTGCGAGAGAAGGGCATAAAAAACGGACTGGAACGCAGCCATAGGCTTCTAACATATTTGAACACCATATTACTTGTAAATGACCATAAGACAATATTTCTATATAATTTTAGCAACTAAAGGCAAAAAGTGCTTGACTATACATTTAAATAACAAAAAATAATTATGTTACTTTGGTTTGTGTGGTATATTGTATGAGGATAACAAAGCACATGAAACTAGGATATGTTCAGCTGGAAAATTTAATAACTGAATAAAAACATTAATACATTTTAAAACTTCGACACACTCCAGCAGATTAACAGCAATGTACAATAAAACAGCAAAGAGACAGTCTAAACCGAACTATTGTTGTTTTGTATGTATCATTTCTAAAAATCAAACTCACACATCTCGCTGTGCATGTTGTATATAATGCATCTGTAATTCTAGTTCTCCAGGCAAAGAACCACCACATATCATGCACTGGAACAGGTGATCTAGGGCAAAAGGCATTTTATTGCCCATTTTGTGTGGCTCAGTTTGTTGGGCTAACTGAGGTAAGTTTGTTACTTGTGGCATGATTGGCATCTCATTTATGGTGCCCTGTGAGGTGAAGAAGATCCCTTGTGGTAACGGACCTGGAACTTGTCTTCCAACAGAATGCATTGGATGCGGAGCAGGTATATTCAGAGCTGGTGGAGGTGGAGGAAAAGGTGGTGAGATAAAAGATGAAGGCTGATTTAGAGAAATCTGTTGGCCAGAAATTAGAGCTATGTGCTGTTGTGCCCGGATGTGGCCTTGTTGAACTGGTCCGTTTAGAAAGGTCTGGGAAACAATTGGAGCAGCATGAAACCCCCACATTGGAGGTCTGTCCCCAAGAGGAAAATGAGCTGGTGCATACGGCATGTTCACTGGTCCCATCTGGTTTGGAGGAGTTGCACTAACCCAAGTAGTAGGTATTTGAGCCTGATGCTGGAGCTGTGTCTGATGAAGCTGTTGTTGAATAAGCTGCTGTGGAACCTGCATGTGCTGAGGCAAGTGCTGGATTAGTCTGTTTTGCTGCTTCTCTAATGAATCTCCAGGTATTTCTTGTAAGCCCACAGATGTAGACATTTCTAAAGATGTTTTCATACTCCATGGAGGGGTATTCGGTAGACCAGAAGCACCAGCGGGTAGCACTATACCACCAGTCTGACCCATTTCTGTTTTAGCCAGACCTGAGGAATTTGGCATTTGCAAATCATGAGTGAGTTTATCAGATTCACTGTTGGTTGGTGCTTCTAAGTCAACAGCTACATTGCCATCTTCTGACGAATTATTGAACAGCCCTGGTTTAGCTGTTTGCACTGAATCACAGAGTACTGGCCACTGCGATTGCTGCGAGTCTTGAATGGATCTCGGTGATTGCCTTTTTACATCCAGAGGTGAAGGCCTGTCCACTTGGTGCTGTGAATGTTTGCCTTTTTGCTCCGTTTCAGATACGTTTATCTCCGAGTAATGATTAGGTTGTGCTGACATTGGTACATTTGCTTGAGAAGGTTGCTGCTGGTGCACGAGCTCTGGGAGACCATCACATTTAGGCAAGATCGTCTTAAGATGACTTCCTGGCCACTGCATCTGCACTGCATTGCTTGGCTGGGCTTCCAATAAATTCATGGGTGTTTGAGAGTGCAGCAGCTCTTCTGATGAAGGTGGCATTTGTAACGGCCATTCTTGCTGCAAATGTACCTGCTGGGAATGATTTCTAGCCTGCAAGTGCTGCGATCTAAGCTGCATGCGTTCATGTCTATTTGCATCGAAGCTACTGGAATGGTATGGAACCACATTTGGCAACAGTGTTTCTGACATGATTCTACCAGGTAGAGGTGCCGTCCTTCCGTTGTCTCGATCTAACCTTGGCCTACCTCTCCTGCCGGTACTTACTCTACCTCTTTGAGAATGTATGGACAGTGGATAACTGTGACTCTGGCCTTGCTGTTTACGCACATGAATCTTTTGATGCACGAGCAGACTACTAAGCCAAGGGAACGACTTATGGCACTCCTGGCAACGGTGAGGTCTCTCCCCCGTATGAGTGTTTAGATGGTCTCGGAGCAAGTAGGCCAAAGCAAAGCTCTTGTCACACAGATGACACTTGTAAGGTTTCTCACCTGTATGGGAAAGCATGTGCCGCTGAAGCTGACTCTCATCGCTGTAGCCCTTACGGCACTGCGTGCAGCGAAACGGCTTTTGTTGATGCAGTCGCTGGTGTGTTTTCATGTTGTGATGAAACGCAAAATCCTTACCACAGTCCGGGCACTTGTATGGCTTCTTCCCAGTGTGGATAATTGAATGCTGCTGCAAATAGCTACTAAATCTAAAGGATTTTTTACATACTTGACACTGGTAACCCTTGTTGTGTATGCGCATGTGAAGCTCTAACACTGATCGGTAGCGAAAGCACTTTCCACAATCTCGACATTTGAACGGTTTCTTCTCTGTCTGGTCCTCTAATCCCCCTACTCCTGACATACTGTCAATATCTGCCTCATCCATACCAACATCATCCTGCTTTTCGAGTACCGCTTTAATCTGATTTGTGATATGTGTTGTGTTTAAACCCAAAATGTTAGTCATATGTGTTTGTGAATGGGATTGCAGGATGGATTCTGACTGGAATTTAAGAGGACAATACTGGCATGCATAGACCTTATCAAATCTTTTGCCATTACTCATCCTTTCATACTCTGCTTCATGGATTAACATGTGCGCTCTTAAATCAGATGCTTTATAAAAAATTTGAGGGCACAGAGGACAGTTGCGCTGCTGCTCAACAGTCGCATTCTCTTTACCTACATGCCCCACAAGAGATACGTTATGGTTTGTAATACATGCCTCAGACCTAGCTGAGATCATTTTGTGTTGCCGATAATGTGCTCGCATATTTTGTGCAAAAGCGAACGTTTTTCCACAGTATGAACAGTGGTAAGGCTTTTGGCCGGTGTGGAGATACTGGTGCTGCTGCAAAAGGCTGCTGTATTTGAAGTTCTTCCCACAGATTTTGCACAGGTGGGCTCTTTCCTCCGTGTGCCTGCGTCGATGGTCCTCCATGACATAGCGATGCCTGAAGACCATACTACAATCTGGACACTCATACGGCTTCAGTGCAGCGTGGGATCGTTGGTGTATATGCAGCGTCACTAAACTCTGAAAGCCTTTGTTGCACTCAAGGCACCGATAAGGACTGTCTAAAGAGTGACTCTGCATGTGGGCATTAATGGACACCCTGTATTGGAACTCTTTGCGGCACAGAGGGCAGCGAAAAGGCTTTTCCACATTCTGTTCACAAACATGAAGCCTTAATCGCATCATTGTCGAGAAACACATACCACAATGCTCACATTGAAATTTCCTCCGTTCCTTGTATTTCCTCTCAGAGCGTTTTGAATGCGACAAGCTTGGTTGGCTGTTTTCTTTATGAATACTGCGGTGTTTGATGAGGTCACTTCGATGCTGAAAAGTAATGCCACATTCTTTACAAACAAGGGAAGCCTGCTCATCTTGGTGCATGTGAAAGTGTCGATGCAGGTTGTATGTTTCCCTGCGAGTGAACTTTTTACCACATTCGTTGCATTCCAGTCGGCTTTTCCTTCGCTTGACAACTATACCTTTCCCATCACTCTTAGATTCATCTTCTCCTTCCTTCTCTTCTGTGTTTTCCTTAACCTTTTCCATGCTTTTGGGATCTCCTGTTTCTTCCATCTTCTCTTCTGTGCTTTGCATTGCCTCGCCATGAGACTTTGATACTTCACTTATATTTGTCGACTCTTCATCTTGTTTTGGTGGGTGTTCTTCCTTGGTGGCATGCTTCGACTCTTTGCTGACATTTTCTGTAGTTTTGTCCTCTGTTTCTTCTTTGTCGGTTTCTTGCCCTGTTAGAGTGATAGCAAAAAATTTTTTTTATATATATATATATATATATATTAGATATGAAGTAATTTCCAAAGTACAAGCCCAATAGTTTTAGTCATTCAGATTTATAATTGTAATAAATTGTTTATATTACATCAATCTTTCAAAAGGTGTATTGAAGATCATCTAAAGAATGTTTAAAAATTTGAAATGTTGGCAACAAAAAACTATTAAATACTACCACCATTATTGCCCAAAAAAACTAGTTAACTAAACACACGCTGTCTTTTTGTGACAGCATACTTTTCAGCTATTTTTAAACAGTGCAATGATTATAAAAAATAAAAAAAAAACAGCTAAAAGGTAAAAGCACAAACATATCAAACTACTGTTTTGACCAACAGATATTGTAATTACTATACTGTATAAATGAGCGGTTTTCACTCTGGTTTAGAGCCGCTATAGATAAGACGATACTGGACTTTTACTTTGGACAAAATTAACAAAAATCACTCTTTAAGTTTAAGTTTAAAACCTCTAAAAAAATAAATACATTTAAGTTTAAAAACGAAATGCCTGAAACCTACAAAAGCAATGATAGAGAAAACAAGCATCTGTGTAACTGAACATTTGACTCAAAACCTTATAGTTACTGAGATAGATATGTGACATCTAGCACCAATTTCTGTTTTCGAAACAGTCACACCCATGTTCACTTCACCCAGTGTATGGGTCTTACTCTGTTAATTTCATTCTCTATGCCCCACCACTTATTGACTAAATCATGTGACCTGGTAGCACAATGCATCATGATTACCATTCATCCTGAATTCTATAGAGTGCAAAAGTGCGTGACCACTTTTTCAGCGGCCCTAGTTCCATAAGAATTTTTTCCCATTCATTTTCCCATAAGGATTTAAAAAAAGGTCATTGTTTAGAAGTTATAAGCAATGAACCAAACCGACCAGCTACAACATACAAGGTACAAGACGGCTTTAATAAGATAAAGAACTGCAATCTCATGAAGCACTGCAAATTACATAATCTAATTAAAAACGATGGAGAAATATAAAACTTTTTGATCATATGTATATATGTACAATACATTTTGAGTTTATTGAAAAATATGCATATTATGCAAGCTGTTGGAAATTGTAAGGGAAACCGACTTTAAATCCAGTATTTTGGCCACTATTCTCTGATTAGCAGAGATTTTTCTGCAGAATCATGGGTAATGTAGTTTTTCCACCAGGAATTCCACTGTTAAACACCGTTATTTCAAACAAGTTGACAAATGCGGACTAATGGCTTCAAACTAAAAATAAGTAAATAATAATAATAATAATAATAATAAATATAAATAAATAAAAAACTTTGAAAAACATGAACTTGACTTGTTTGTTATAGAGGGTTGTTTTTGTTCCACATAGACAGCTCTAGGGCTGGACAATAATTCAATATGAATATGTATCGCGATAAAAAAAATTTAAATAACGGTGATATGATTTTTAAACACATTTCCGATATTTCGATATACATTACCAGTGTTTCCCATACATTGATTTATTTGTGGAGTTTGATTTTGTTGAATAAACATGAGCACTGCACGTTTCAAAATCAAAACGTGGCGCGGGTGTTTCATATGAATGTATCTCTGAAGGGAACCGACTGTCTTCAGAAAAGTTTCGATGGCATTTTCATTTTGATCTGATAAAGTAGCGTTCGTGAGCGGAGCTGATTTGATTACAGCCGTTACGGGGAAACCGCTAGTTCTACCGCTCTCACAGCGCCTCCTGCTGGCAGACAATCAGTTTGCATTTTCAATAATAAGCCCGTCTACACCAACATTTCCAGTTTTTGTTGTTGTTCAATTTTTTTGTTTCCTGCAGCAAAATTTTGAATTATTTTTACTATTTAAAATTGCTTTCTATTTGAATAGATTTTAAAATGGAATTTATTCCTTTGATCAAAGCTGAATTTTCAGCATCATTACTCCAGTCTTCAGTGTCACAGAATCTTCAGAAATCATTCTAATATGCTGATTTGCTGCTTATCAATATTTAAAACAGTTGAGTGCATTTTTTTTCAGGATTCTTTGCTGAATAGAAAGATCCAAAGGTTCAAAAATGTGAGTGACAGTTAAAGGGTTAATGTTTTATTTTTTTTTTAAGAATTCTCTTCTGATCACCAAGTCTGCATTTATTTGATCCAAAGTACAGCAAAAACAGTAAAATGTTGAAATATTTTTACTATTTAAAATTGCTTTCTATTTGAATAGATTTTAAAATGGAATTTATTCCTTTGATCAAAGCTGAATTTTCAGCATCATTACTCCAGTCTTCAGTGTCACATGATCCTTCAGCAATCATTTTAATATGCTGATTTGCTGTTTATCAATATTTAAAACAGTTGAGTACATTTTTTCAGGATTCTTTGCTGAATAGAAAGATCCAAAGATCAGCATTTATCTAAACTAAAAAGCTTTTGTAACATTATACACTATTCCATTCAGTGTCATTTGCATAATTTTTTGTGTGAAAGAAATTATAGAAATTAATACTTTTATTTAGCAAGGATGCTTAAAATTGATCAAAAGTGATGATAAAGGCATTTATAATGTTACAAAAGATAAATAGTGTTCATATCGATATCGGAATTATATCGTATAGACCGAAATTAAGAAATATATCGTGATATAAATTTTGCCTATATCGTCCAGCCCTAGACAGTTCCACAATTATTTTTATTAAAACTGATAACTCGTGTCTTTCAATGTACCTTTACGACGCTGTATGCAGTTCTTAATAATTAAAACCTCTAAAACGAGTCTTCATCTTCACGCATGAAAGGGTTAAGTTAAACAAGCAGTTGTGTTTCTGATTGGATTAGAACAAGCCAATTACAGAATAATTAATTGCTGTGGGGGGGCCGCTCCAAGTTTCTGCATGCTCTTCCTACGTCTGAATATATGTGTGAAATTGCACAAGTCTATGTGATGTCCAAGAAAGCGCTGCGTGCCCTTTACTGCCTGGCCTTGATGCAAAGTTGTACTTACCGATGTTTTCATTGTGCAAACGATCCGATATCACATCGCAGTCCGCTCCGGGCTCGACTGAAACCAGATCACCGTTATTATTTTGAAGCAGCACATCCGTGTTTTGCTCGTCTTCCGTAGTTTTACAATGACATGACATTCCTGACGGGTCTTTGTTGCGTGGTGAAAGAGCAACGCCATGTGGAGAGGGATTTTCACTAAGGTTAGCTGGTGAAGACGGCACAGCAGGGTCTGTCGTTCCCTTTACGTCGCTGCCTTGTGCACACACCTCCGCGTCACCATCGGTTACTGTAGCAGATTCAGGTTTATTTCCAGCGAGCGTACCGTTAATGATTTTATTATCTAATGGCTGTTCGGATTCAGACTGCCCTGTAGCCATTTTTCACATATTTTTCTCTCGCTTTTCTCCACCCATAAAAACATGGAAGCCAACGTTTGATTGGAAGCGTGTGCTCCGTCACGTGCTCCCTCTGCGACTACGGTTAAAGCGACACCTTTCGATAAATGTTGCTGGTTCGGAATCGGGGACTTATTTGCATTTTAGATTTACATATAGGCCTAGTTTTATTGATTTAGCAGTTCTGTTGATAACCTTGGTCAACCAGGTATGTATGCACATCCTTTTTGTGTAGATAATCTTTATTTAAAATAGAAATCTAAAAACTTGGTACCCAGAAACATGCATCTGGTGTACCAAGTTTTTTTTTTTTTAGAATCAAACACAGTAAAATAACACAATTGTGAAATATTACAATTTAAAACAACTGTTTTCATTTCAATGTAATTTATACCTGTGATGGAATATGTCACGTGATCCTTAAGAAATTATTCTAATTTGCAGAAATCTTTCTAATATTCTCATTCGTGCTAAAAGAAAAACAAAACCATTTCCTATTATGTTCAAAACAGTTGCGTGTGTGTATTTCCTGTGATAAAAAAAAAAGATGATAAACATATTGATTGCTTTTATTAAAACTTGTTCATATGCAGACATTTTTCCAAGTACAAGTGCTTTTTGTTAACATGGTGAAAAGTTTGCAAAATAGTATATTTCAGTTTGGCTATCTTGCATTGCATGCAGAGTGACCAGGTGACCTTAGATCTCTACATCAGCCAGCAATTCTGATAACTGCATTTATTTCCAAGGAACTGCAGAGATTCTATGCAATGTCATGTCGCTTAAAACAGCATTTAGATGTTTCTTAAACAGCGATAGTAGCAAAAGTAAAATGTCATTTTGCACTGATATTCTGTGCCTCAATCAAACAATAAAAATGAATGTTTATTCATGCCACAGCATGAATACTGAATAGTTTTTAAGCCTGCCTTTTTTTTCTTCTAAACTTGCAGTTATTATATATAAATTTAAGCAAGCAGATCCATAAAATGTCAGTAATTTACTATCAGCAACAAGAGTGGAGAAGTCGATTTAGATATAGCTTTGAGCTTTTTGGTATTCCTATTATGCACTTTATTATATATCTGTGACCAGCATAACATAAAATGTGGCTGCAATATGACATGGCACAATCTGCAACTAGTTAACCTTATAAAACATTGCTTAAATAAATAAATTTACTGCAACCGAATACAGTTCATTTGTCCACATCTCACAGTAACATCAACGTCTGCGTCTTCGTCTGAGGTCTACTGTTCTGCCACGGCGTGGCTGTTGAGTTACTCCATTTATGTCATTCGGTGGTTCAGTGTGCCGAGTACCATCTAAAATATCTGGAGGTGGTGGCAGAGGTGGAACAGTTGCTGGGATTTGCTGCTCTAGCTGTGGCAATAACATTGGTTCATAAGGCTGCTGTTGTGGAGGTTCCTGTTGCTGTTGATGCTGTGCAGGTTGCTGTAATTGTTGTTGCTGTTGCTGTAGTTGCTGTTGTGGAATTTGTTGCTGAGGCGGCTGATGCTGCATCTCAAGTAGACCCAACAGACGTTGCAAAAGTACATTATTCTGCTGCAAGCTACTTGTAAGGGCCTCTTGCGAAGCCACAAGCGTCCGCATATCACATCTGAAGCCTTCTCCAAACTCGCGCAGGTTCTGCTCCATGCGATCTCCAAGCTTCATGGCTGCTTCTCCCAGCCCACGAAGTTCATCTTCCAGCCAGGAAGTGTGTGGTGGAGGGGGCTCCAGTGGGCCCTGGTGGGTCCCTAAAGATGGTTCTGGGCTTGGTTGAGGAGTGCCGTTTAGGAACGGGGCACTGTAAAGGGGTGAAGGAGGTAGCCAGCGTTCTGATGTTGGAGGTGGTACTATTCCAAGACCCAAGCCCAAACCCAATTTATCCTCCATGCTGTTCTCCACACCCTCACAATCATCTCCATCTTCACCTTCTTGCTCACCAGCTTCATCGTCCTTTTCGAAACCATCTCTTTCAGAACTATCTCCAACTGTAACTGAAAGAGTGAAAACATATACATAAACTTTAAATATTCTCAGACTTTACTGTAGAATCAGATTTGTGGGATCAATCCACACCCAAAAAGGTTACCTGGATCAGTGTCTGACAAACACATGAAACTGGCTTTTCCTCTGGTGCTCTGCTTTTGCCGAGATTGCTGGAGCCTGGGACTGACTTGGGTCGGCCTTCCCAAAATTGCAGCCCCTCTGCTTGATGGTAGGTAGCAGGTGCGGTGCCTTGCATCAGCCAGTCTACCACCATTACGTCTCTTCAGGTCATCCCAGCGTTTCTTCACTTCTCTCAGAGTCCGAGGTACTCTAGACACAGCATTGACACGCTCAAGTATGCCAGCCCAAATGCGCTCTCTTTCTCTGCGCCGGAGCCTCCCTGCTGGACCGAACAGCTCCCCCTCACACCGAGTCACCTCTGATACCAAGACCTCCAGCTCTGCCCCGCTAAAGCGGCTCTTCCTTTTCCCTACACCTCCTGCAGCTAATGCTGAAGACACACCCCTGTCTTTAAATAAAAGGCAAATATTTATATAACACAATACTAGTTTTTGCATTTCTATTCAAAAGTGCACCAAGTACATTTTTTGGCTTTTGTTGCAATGGTCAATATGGCACTAATGGCCTTTTGTGCTAATACTGACATATAGCAGCATGAATGCAGCATCAAAGTAAAATTTTCTGTTACTAATGACACTTTTCAAGGGTCAGTGGCAGACAAGGATATCTGGGATGATGAAAAGGAGAAATAATTGAAAATCTAGTTCAAATGCAAAGTTTATAGAAAATGTAATTTTTGTATTCATGGTGTGTATTTGTATCATTCATTACATGCAAACATCTTAGAGCTCTCCTAATTGACAGTAAATCTAGCAATGACATGTAAAGATCCGAGGCTACAGAGGAGAGGGCGAGAAATAAAAACAAAGAATGCATGGATAATATACTTGGATTCACATTTAACTAATTGTTTAATTAAGGGAATTTTAAATATAAAGGCCAAAATTACCTGTGTCGCAGCAATGCGCATATATTCTGCACCACATCCGCAATGGATGCGCATTCCGCATAAATTACGTTAGCCTCCACTAGCTCTTCTCAAGCAAATACTTGCTGTTCGTGAAAAAGTCATATATGCGACGAGCCTGCATTACGAGAACGATCTAGTTTTGGAAAAAAAATAATCCGTGCTCACACCGTACTGTGACAATTGGCTAGAGAGTTTAAAACATAATGCTAAAATGATTTAAGTGCATAGATGCAAAGCTAACCTCTTAAAGTCCTACATGTACACAGAACCCAAATCGTCGCAGGATTATGACATCACACAGATATTTGCTGTGTCTGAAACTTTGAAAGTGATATTTTACACATGTAAGCGTCGACAGTATATTTAAACACGCAAGTCTTTTGTCATCTTGCTAAAAAAAATAATTAATTAAAAATAAAGGGAATAGGTCTACAATTCAAAAAGTGCTGTGAGGTGCATTTGGCCTACAAGTTTGCCTTAACTTTTCAAACGATAAAACACTAAATAATAGTTTTATATTAAACATTGTGTTTTGAAATGGTGGCGAAACAAAAAGCAGGCTTTGTGCTAACCAGGGGCGATTCTAGGATTTTCATTTTAGGGGGCTCAGCCCCCAGTGAGGGTATAATAATAATAGCCTAATAAAAAAATTAATATATATATACTTATAATTTAAAAAAACTGGTTGATTAATAGTCGTATACTAAACATATTGCAGTATTCCACTGTATTGCATGGATAGGTATAACATCTGAGTACTGAATAAGCCAAATTCAAGTCTTCATGATCTCACACACACAACCTGTTTACTGTAGGCTACAAACACAACATTTTATTGTTTGCGTTTCTAGTATTCCTTATCTCAAGTAGGCCTATGCAAACCTCTTTGCCACACGCATTGGAATATGTATTATATTGAAAGTTAAATTTTCAAATGAAAATAGCAACATTATCGTTTTATAAAGTATGCGTTCATATATGCTTCATTTTCGTTGGAGGAAACAGCTGTGGTGTGATGAGTGGTGAACGCAGCGAAAACTTAGGCTACAGTAGATGGGGAACCAACTGATTATTGCTCTCCCATGATATTTTGTAAACTGGATTTATGACAAAGAACTGCACATATGTATTTATTATAACAGTATATCGATAAACTCACACCTTGTCCTCGGTTTCTCGCACTGAGCCGCTGCGGTCTGCAGATTGAAGAACGAGCTGAAAGACAGGGAGGAGCCGATCGAAGTCTGCCGCCGTTTTCATATTAAACGTAAAGGGCCCCCTTTATAGCCCCCTAAAAGTGGCCTAGCGACGCCCATGGTGCTAACCTAGATTTAGCCTATAGCTGTTTCGTTCTTAATCTTGTACGATTCCAGATGTTACCACATAAGTCTTCTGCAGAACTCAGGGCTTGCACATTTATGTGAATACTTATAATTATCTTACACATATGTCAGTGCATAAAATAAGTAGTAGTAATAAGAATAAAGAATAAGTGGAAATAAAAGTAGCTGTCTATGTTGTCTAAATGAGAAATAGTAGGGAAAAAATGTATGATGCACTTGATTAGAATAATATAGCTTTTCCCAGTTCTCACATTATAAAGAAAAAACATGCAATGGCTTGGACTACTTTTATTATTACTTGCTCTCACCGGAGTGTGAAAATTTCTCAAGATGCCTTTGGTTAAAATCAACCTCCCTTACATAACTAGCCTATTTATGCAACTGGACTTTTAACTAAAAACTGAGAGAAATCGCTTGTGACAATGTCCAGGTGCATGTGGCAACTAGCCTGGTTTCCTTAACAAGGTGATATTGATTTATATGAGTAAAAAATCTTTTTGCAAAGACAATAAAGGCAGAGGCAGACAATAAAGTCTATAAAATAATAAGGTAAAACAAAGGAAAAACAGATTCAGGCTTGCATAGCCTTCATTTGCCACCTGTACGCTCCCACACGAGCTAATGATTTATCTGTGATTTCACCTCACATAGTGCCAACAAGTAACTTTTTTTGTAAAGTGTTGTTTCTGTCCACCTCCTTTGTATGTAAAATGTTTAATTGTTCACTTGGTGGCCATAACTTTTTAAAATATGAATTTTAAAAGTGACATATCTTTCTAACGTAATGTGATGTCCAGTATAAATAATTAACAATATCTTAATAAAAGTGTCATTACCTGTCTGTATCTCCTAGAACACAAGGTGGTAGATATTCTAGAGGTACTTGGTACTTCACTTTCCTTAACCATGTTGAATTTATGTATATTAATGTTTATTTATTTGTTTAAATTGATATTTATTTTTATGTAAATAAATATGTACATGAATTTTCAGTCATATAGAATTATGAAAAAGGGTGAAAGGTAATTTGGATTGTAATTGTAACAATGCTTAAAAATTAATTTTAAAGATCTGTCCACCGTAGCTGACACCATGCCTCAAAGGGTTAAAAAAACTATATTAACCTTAGATTTCCTATGGTTTTAGTAAAAGCTTAACCAGGGACATGAGCTGCAAATTAGCTATTAGCTTGCAAATGGACAATCTGCTGCTCACAACGGTGCAGCAGTGTTATTCTGTATTGTGTCTGTGTGAAATGTCTGATTAAACATTTCAAAATGGTTTGATAGAAGATAGCATCATTCTCCGGAGACACCACAGACGGTTTAATTCAGTTGAATATTTTCCCATGTCATGCTTTTTAAAAGTCACAGGTTTGAAAGAATTTTGTAATATTTCATAAAACATGGTTACTATAAGCCAACATTTCACAGCTTTTTTTTTTTAATAATCAAGGGGAAATAATGTAGTCACAGAGATATTCATCAGTGCCCGCTTTCAATGAAATGTGCTCACGTCTCACATTAGTGCAACTTGAAATGGTGTCTACAGTTTGAAATAAATTGGCATTTTTGCATCCCTTCGTTTAAAAATAATAAAAGAGCTTTTTAAAGTGAAACACCATAGACTGTACAGGCAATCACATTATGTAATTTAAACTAATTTAACATAAGCAATGATTTTAACACACACACACACACACACACACATATATATATATATATGCAACATTAGTCAAGACTTAAATCTGATTACAATTAAGTGCCTTTTCTTCAAAATTCAAGAGCTTGTCATGACAAAATGATAAATAAATAAATAATATGTTTTTATTAGTACCTAAACATGCTTTAACAAGAACATTTTTCTTTAAGGAACACATATGTGACCCTGGAGCACAAAACCAGTCTTAAGTCGCTGGGGTATATTTGTAGCAATAGCCAAAAATACATTGTATGGGTCAAAATGATAAAAATCATTAGAATATTAAGTAAAGATCATTGGCCCTGGCTCTATGACTTTCTCTCCTCTCCACCTGTAGCTGGTGTGTGGTGAGCGTACTGGTGCTGTTGTCCACCACCACCACCACCACCACCACCACCACATGATTAAAGTGCTCTGGGTGTATAGCAATACACAAGAAAGCGCTATATAAATGCATCATTCATTCATTCATTCATCATGTTCCATGAAGAAATGTTGTAAATTTCCTACCATAAATATATAAAAACTTTTTTTGCACCCTCAGATTCCAGATATTTGATAGTTGTATCTTGGCCAAATATTGTCCTATCCTAACAAACCACATCTACATTGACTACATCAATGGAAAGATTATTTATTCAACTTTCAGATGATGTATAAATCTAAATTGAGAAAAACTGACACTTAAGACTGGTTTTGTGGTCCAGGGTCACATATTAATATTTACTTCTCGTGACAATTATGTAACCAAAATTTCCCCTTTTTAAATAATTGCTAAAATAATTTAGCTAATTGCTAAATAACTCCTTAGAAAAATAATAAGAAACATCCATTAATTAATGATTTGTAAATATAGTTTCTTCATAACCATACAAAAATGATTTGCAGTAACGTGCTAGAAAGATAATCTGTACATTACGTTAAAGCACATGTTGGAGTCACACACTGCTTGCTTATGTAATGCACCAAATGTATGTATATGCCCTTGAAAATTATCTAGAACTGTGGAGTAGACAGAGTATAAAAGGTGGGTCTTAAAACCTTCAGAACACCACTTAGCAGCTTCAACATGAAGGCTCTCATTCTTCTGGCTCTGTTCGCTGTGGCTTGTAAGTAAACGGGGCAGAGATCATTTAGACTGGAATTAATATAGATCACTTAAGGTTTTTGGGGTTTTCTAAATAGAAACTCATCATGTACAGCAGAATATACTTTGAATCTATTTTAATTCCAAGTGGTTATTGCTCTGTTCAATTATTTTTGTAAAATACGTGATGTGACAATAAAACTATGTTTTCCCAGACGCCGCTCCTCTGGATGAGGATGATAAGATTGTCGGCGGATTTGAGTGTACTAAGAATGGTGTTCAATACCAGGTTTCCCTGAGCAGTGGCTACCACTTTTGCGGTGGCTCTCTGATCACCAACCGATGGGTTGTGTCTGCTGCTCACTGTTACAAGTCGTAAGTGAAATATGTTTTTTTCCCCCATGTGCATATATATTGGGAAGACTGGAACTATTTGTCACATGGGGAAGTTAAGATAATTAAATCTCAGTAACTATAAGGTTTTG